CCCCCCCCCTCCCCAAACAGTTCCTAGACCTCGCCTGCTTCTGCCCGAAGACGTTGATGAGCCGACCCCAGGTAGCTGTAGCAATCTGTGCGGACCTGGCAACCTTTGGAGACAGCATCTTACCCACGGCAGAGTACCTGACCGGGGGGCAGGCCAGATGAGTTGAAACTGGTTTCAGCGTGGCTTAGGGGGATATCTAGTCTGGGTCTTGGCGTGCTGTTTTAGAGGCGACGTCGTTGTTGGAGTGCAGGGGTCAAGTTTCGGTTGGTAGGTAGTGTCTATGCTTCAGGTCAGGTTCAAGGTGTGGTGGGTTCAGGGTCTAGTCTAGAGTCTAGCCGAGGGTTTCTGATTTAGGTTTCCATTCGGAGCTATGCGTATCTTGGTTCCGAGTGGAACCCAGATATCCTGTACGCTCACGTACGCCAGACGCTCTGAAGCATGAACCCTATAGCTGAAGCCATACAGTTGGAACGTTGTAGTCCTCATGTCCTTAAAGTAAAGCATAGGAATCCTAGCACAAATCCTCCAAACCCACGTTCCAACTTTCTGGGGTTTAGGGTAAACCCTACCCCCGACGCGCAAACACTACACCCCACCCTGACCAGACAGCATCCAAAAGGCCTCATCTGGGAGTTTCTTAAACTCGAGCGGTAGCTTCGATATAGGGTTGCTGAGAGTGCCGATCCTACCCTGCAGGGCCTAAAAGAGTCGTGTAGGATTTACAGGGACATACGGTTTAGGAGTTCAAAAACGGCTTAGCATTCAGGACTTAGGTTTCAGGTTCTAGAAAATAGGAATTAAGGCCTTGCGGTTTGCGGTTCAACCTTTCCTGTTTGCGCTGTAGGGTTCCGGTTCGAAGGTTTTGTTTTCTGACGTCGAGTTGTGGGTCCAAAATGTCTAGGTATGCATAGGGGTCAGCCGAGTTGGGAAAAGTATCCCCGTATGGTCCCTCTGATAACAGCTAGGGGTCGGAATAGTCGTATTTCCTTATGTCCCCATGTAGGTATTCTATGGCATACCCCACAACCCGGAGCTAGTTGTACGGGAGTCTGACACTTTCGGCTAAATTGAGGAAGGCTTGAAACTGTTCAGCCTCCTCAACCCGACAATTGCTCAACAGATATCCCCAGCCCTGAGCTCGAAATGCTTCCAACGCAGCGCTCAACTGTAGTAAATCTGGCAAAAGCCGTGCACACTTAAAGAGTAAACAGGAAATATCTCATCAGTTTAGAAAGAGGTGTGATGTCCGGAATATTTGGTTTAAATTCGTTATACTGCTCAATTAGACAGGGATACTTAGCAGCATGATTCCGCCACGAACAGCTTAATTATGCACTGTTGGCTTCTTCGTTGTTCACCCAGGCTAATCCCGTTTAAGGTTGAGGGTTCAGGGTTATTTCTATTCCGGTAGAGCGCCCTGCGTAACTGCTCACGTGTTCTGTTGTTGTATGTGTGTGTGTGTGTGTGCGTGCACGAAAGCAGAAACAGTACGGGTTTACCACTGTTGGAATCCAGGCTTGGCCGTCAGGGCTTCTAGGAGTTAGGGATTCAGCAGACACCCTAAACCCAACAAAAACCCGAAACCCTAAACCCTAAAACACCCTAAAAAACCCTAAACCCTAACCCTAAACCCTAAACCCCAAAAAACCCTTAACCCAAACCCTAAACCCCAAAAAACCCTAAACCCTAACCCTAAACCCCAAAAAACCTTAATCCCTCAATTCCAAAAACCCTAAATCCTAAACCCTAGCTTGGGCCAAGGTCTTGGATGCAGACGGTGCGGGTATCCAACCTATCCAGAGCTTCTCTATCGGACTTGGTGAGATCGTGTTGGTTGTCTAAGCAATGCCGATAATATAGAGGCCTAAATAATTACCTATACTATTTTGGGGGGGTCCTTATTATAACCATATAGTACAATGTACCCTAAAACCCTATTCCAATTATTAAGG